AAAGTAGCCTATGTGTTCTTCCAGACTATCCTCTACATCTATACCAAATTTCACCGAAATCCGTTCAGCCGTTTAGGCTACAAACTTTAACAAACATCTATCCATCTAAACTTTCGCATTTATAATATTAGTTAGAAATTAAGTAAAAATATTCACCTGATGGTATTTCAGGAATTTCAGCTTTCTCGATCTGTTGGACTCTGAAAATGTTCAAAATTGAATTTTAAATCTCTTACTATGACGTAAACTACGATAAAATATTGTTTTTTCATACTTACAAAGTAGATGCTTCTATACTGGTTTTATTTTTAACTGGTTCTAAGGAAATAAATAATAATTAATTATTATTAACAATTGCTTAAAAGTACACTAACGAAGGGATTTGAAACCAAAGAAAATATAGATGCGTGAAAAAGACAATGCTTAAGGGAGTAAAATATGGCTAATAGAGATGTATGGAAGAGTATAGTATGCCGACTCTACGTATGAAATTTTTATTATTAAACAAAAGTACTTACTTGTATCATATTCTGCATTTAAATCGTCATAAGATGATTCAGGAACAATCTGGTCTTTACTGTTACAAAAAAAATAATAAAAAAATATAAAAAAATCGTCTTTTAACATTTACAGTCAACATAGTATTAAAGTGAAACTTACAAAGTTGGTGCTGCGTAGCTAGATGTATTACGAACTGTAAAAAAAAAATGAAAATAGAAAAAAAAAATATTGTAAGTAACCAAAACCTTTCATTTTGTATCAAAAATTGTCTTCTTACCATAATCTTCATATCTACGGAGATCCATTGCGCTTAAATTATTCGTCCGACGTTGGCCTTCGGTTTGATCATAAGATTTCTTCATACGTAGCCTGTAAAAATTATTAAACACTAGCTTTTGCCCGCGACTCAATCCGCGTGGAATTAAAAAAAAAAGTGAGTAGCCTATACGTTCTTCCAGACTATCCTCTACATCTATACCAAATTTCATCAAAATCCGTTCAGCCCTTTAGACTACAAACTCTAACAAACATCAATCCATTTAAACTTTGGCATTTATAATATTAGTATGATTAAATCCTAATCTCTGTCTACTAAAAATTATTAAAGACTTATAGTTTGTTTTGGCATTAACTTAGTATTTAATTTTCAAGAATACATAAAAACGTATAAGTTAAAAGTTAAAAGACAAAATTATACTCACGGTGTGTTATTACTTTTCTGTCCAAGTTTTTTCTTTACTGAAAATTAAAGCAATTTAAAATGAGTACATATTTTTTATCGTTCTTTACTCTATTTGGTGAAAAAAAGGTTTTAAACATACTGCATTGACAGTTCCTGCAGACGGAGAGTGCGCTGTTGTCGACGGCGACAGTTCCCACAGTCGTCGTTGATAATGTTTGAATTATCGGAGCAGTGGTAATGCAGTTGCTGTTCACTCTTGTACCACTGAAAATACATCGTTTGTGGTAACAAAGATAGAGGAAGACCAAAGAAAATATGGATGGATTGTGTGAAAGATATGCTTGAGGTAATGAATTCAGATAGAAGCTGATAGAAATGTATGGAAGAGCATCACATACTGTGACTTTCCGTAGGGATAAGGGCAAGCTGATAATAATGAGGTAGCTGTATTCAACTCACCTTTTATTTATTGTTTCCACGACAGTTTTAATTTTCCCTGCAAATAGATTTATACTTAAAATTACTGCAGAATCATCTCTAGCATGCTATCTCTATTATTTTCAAAAAGAAGGACAAGGAAGACAGTACATTTTTACACAACAGTGGGAACGTATTGTTACATTTTTTCCAGTTCAGTTACATTCAGTGCCAACTATATTAAAAAAATATAGAGGAAGCAAAGTTGACACTTGACTTAAGACATTTTTCACTTGATCCTCACTAACGCTATCTTTTTGACCGACTTCCCAAAAGAAGGAGGTATTCAATTCGTCTGTATGGTTTTTTTTAATTAGACTACAAAACCACATGTCAATATAATAATTTGTATTTAAACGAATTACCAATAGGCGTTTTAAAATAATATTTAAATGTTTACATCTTATTATGTGATAAAAAATGGAGCCTATGATAATTTTGTAAAAGATTTTATAGCATGTACAAGGATGTGAGGTGGCACTAAACTTGACTACTAACATAGTACCTTTCAAAGAAGTTACGGGTTACAAAATTCTGTTCACTATGTCTAGTCTATATTTCTTAAATTCATTTGGTGCCACCATTCGTTAATTAACTATCTTATGAAAAAATCGTAAAATTGGGTATGGTGTAACACCACTCACCGCATTGACAGTTCCGCCACGTGGTCTGCAAATATCCGCGCAAGTCGCTACTCTTGTTAGGACTCACCCACACCTTCGACTGCGCCTGCGGGTTGCTAATGCCAAGACAATAGTAAAACAAATCGTATACTTCCTAACAAATTTGTCATAAAACCTGAGTAAAATCAACAGAGAACATTCCATATTACTGTGTTATGAGAGTCTTGGCATTTTTTCTTATTAAGCAAGTCAAAGAATTTTGAAAAATTAGTAGACTAGGAGTTAAAACTAAAAAAATAATTTCAAAACTAAAAAAGTGCCTATGAAAAAAACTTACTGCGATTGCGATTCTGCATACGATTTCTCTGTAAAAAACAACATTGCTTCACAAAATATATGGGTACAATTTGAAACTGTTTGTTGTTAATTTGGGACAAAAATCTGTTGCACTGACCTAACGGGCGTAGGATAAGGAGGAAGAGGATGATGTTTTGTTGTCAATTTATTTTGTTTTTCAATATTACGAAACAACATAGTATTACATCCCATATGTACAGTCATGAAATTTCACGCTTTTCTAGCACAAAGCTACGTTCGTTTAAATGTTTTGTACGCGGAAGACATCGCGGAAAAATGACCAATTGGACGCATGTTTTAAATCTGTTATTACGAAAAATGACAAACAGATATACAATACATATATATATACAAAACATACTAATTGGTTGTATGAAAAAGCGGAGTATGTTTTGCAAGCAATTAGGCATTTTTTTGCAAGTGGAACACCGCGAGTTTCCAGGACTGTACACATACAATAATTATAGCGAATGTTACTGTTTTAAAAATTCAAGACAATTATAAAGCAACGATAATTATTGGAAAAAATTTTGACAAGAAATCATAAACAGTTCGAAGTATTAACAGTATTTACTCACCACATTGACAGTTACGACACAACGATCTGAGATAGCCTTTAATTTCTTCAGTCTCAATGCTATGCGTGGGCCATTGCTGCAGCGTTTGGGTGGGAACTTGACTAGAAATTAAACATGTTATTTCAATTCATTCATATAAGTAACATTAATTAACGAGTTTAGTATAGCGATTCTTTTATTGACTTCAATAAAATTCTTCTAACACAAATAGCTATAGAAATTCATCTTTCAGTTTTGGCTTTTTAGTTTTAAAAGCAATTGTAATAATTAAATTTATTAGAACTCACCATACGTTGTAGCTCTTTTTCTTCTTATCTGAAAATAGATATTTTTTTTAAATTTTGCTTAGTTGAATTGACTTTTGAAGCTCTATAGCCAAATTTAGTTTAGAAAAATTGACTTACGGCATTGACAGTCGCTACAAGGACCGTGTTTGGATTTGCTCGGATCTTTCTGATACAAAATACACCGAGGCCTTATACTCGTTTCTCCCGACGCCGTCTCTCTTGTGCCTTGTGACGCTTTCTTCATACACATCGTGCAGTCCGAGGTCTCATTATTACATGGAGATGTTTCTGATTGTCGTTTCTTGATAACCGCACAATGACTAGACAATGGTTGTAAATTATAATTAATACTAAAAAGAAACTAAGTCTTGATACTTCGTCTGTTTAGTATAAATGTGTTTTTGAAGTACTTACTCCGTTGGCGATTTCTTGCCACATTGAATATCACTTGGACATTTCCTTGATTGTCTACATGCACGTTTTGCCGAACTAAAAGTGAGAATGTCGTGAATAGAATTTGGAATTATCTGAAATGTTCCTCTGCCGAAGTCATCATCTCCCCTACCTTATCCTACTCCCGTAGTATCGGCCATTCGGGTTTTCGGTCTCCAAATAACTATCATACGTCATTTCATGACTGAGATGTCACTCCCTTCTTGATGTCACCTTTCTCACAATCCATACATCTCTTTCTAAGTCTACTTCTACCGGTGTACCACACTCACAACTAACGCTATTCTTGTTACATGCGATTCATCTCTCCTCATAACATGCTAAACGAAGTCTAACCAATACAAAACTTAATAAGACTTCAGTTTTTGTTTCTTTTATTATCCTCTGTAAGTTAGCTGTACATTATTCATAAATAAATAAAACCAAGCCAATTTTATCTCAGTTTTATTAAGGACAATAGAAGACAATATTTTTATCATCAAATACTCAAGTCAATCAAAGGCTTTATGGTAGTTTTTAACAAGCATTCACTAAAGCATTTTATAAATAGGCGTCTTGTTACAAGGATCTCTTTAAATCCGGTCTTTTAAAAACTAAATTCTTACTATGTAACCCTAAATGCTTAAGGGATACCTAAATTTTAGGGATCGTTAAAAGCGGTTCATAATATTAAATTTTACACTCACAGATGATCCATAACATCAGCCGACGATGGATATTCAGTCAGCCGAGACAGACAAGACCCTCGCTGACCTAAATCACACCTATAAACAATACACTCACGGTCTAAACTCTCATCTATGATCAATAAAATATATAAAAACTCGAAATCAATTTATTAGCTTTAGAAATACCATCGATTACTCACGGGGAACACGGATTCCGTTGCCTGCGTGCAATGAGGCGATTTCTGAAAACAATAAAAAACTTGCTGTTACAATGAACATTTCGAAATAACTATCAAGAGTAAATTTAGGGCAGTTAAAACTAGTTATTGCTACCGACTCCGTGAAATAAAAAAACATAGCCTACTAGCTTTCGCCCGTGACTCCGTCCGCGTGAAATAAAAAAAAATAGTGAGTAGCCTATGTGTTCTTCCAGACTATCCTCTACATCTATAAGAAATTTCACCGAAATCCGTTAAGCCGTTTATGCTACAAACTCTAACAAACATCCATCCATCCAAACTTTCGCAATTATAATATTAGTATGATGAACATCATCACTCACTGATAAGCTTTTTAATGATGAAGGTTTCAGTAGTTTTAGAATTATTTCGATACATATTATAGTACAGAAGTATAGATTACGCGACGCGTTATCAAGAAGTATGCTTTTTGGATTACGTTGCCCTTATAATAATCCTAAAGTTAGTAAGAGCAATGCCAACAATTTAGATCAGGTAGAGCTACTATCTACATGGTTGTATTCTTAACTATTTTAGTTCTATTTTTTTAAGTCTAGGGCAGGTACCCTCTGCCCTTTTGTTGCCCATATCGGATAATGTCGCGTTCCCTCACGTACCCTCACCTAGAACAACGGTTTTGTGTTGGTACATACGTTGAAGCCGAGGTTGGCGCTTGCGTTGGTTGATATACTGTCGTCTTGCGCTTCGGTCTGAAAATATAATCGGCTATGGCAAACATTTACAACAACTCTGTTTTTTTTTCTGCTACAGCGCCTTAACTTGGTTTTGGCAGAGGTAACACATGATAAAAGTAAAGCAATATTATATCGAACTAAAACTTCTGTCAAATAGTAAATACAAATTACTGTTTTCACAGTTCTTAGTATTCCTGAAGACTCTTTGGTTAAGAATCTAACTATTCAAATATATAGCAACATTTAAATTAACTGACACTTTACCGTTGGTGATAAAGAAATTATTTCCAAGGACATATTAAATGCTGCTTGATTGACCTCTAAATTTAAATGATAGTCGATGAAAATGATCATCTATTTTGATGGTTACTAAGGAACTCTCTTAGTACAGTGATTAATCAAATCATATAATTTAGGAGAAATATTTATTTATTTATTTCCTACTAGCTGTACCCGTGCGGCTTCGTCCGCATGCAATTATGAAAATTTTATTTTATTGTTTACATTTGTCAAATTATCAATAGCAAATGTCAAAATGACATGACATGACAAATCTTAGCAATCTTTCTTTCTTGACGTTGGTAGCAACTTATGGTCTCTTTGCCATATTAGAGTTTTAATCTAAAATATCTACCCCCTAAGTTTAATGGCGTGAAAATATATAGCCTAAAGCGTGACGTAAGTGTAGGGCTATTTATTAAAAAAAGAGTTATTCAAAAATATGCTGTAATTGCTGACATCTTAGGCAACAAAGAAGTGTGTGTTTACGCTTTATTATAATAGTATAGAAGTATAGATATGAAATGAAATTAGCAACTCACCTTCGTGTCTCACTTTGTTTAGATTTGTGACATTGAGGTTTCGGATAACATTCGACTTTGAGTGGATTTTCACATTTCTTTCTGTATTCATTTTTGCTTGAAGGAATAATTCTAACTTCATCTTGGCTAAAAATTAGGAACAGCACAAGTTTATCAAAAAAACAATTAAAATGAAACAATAAACTAATCTGAAAACATTAATCTAAGCAGAATAGTTTCGCAGTTACTTCAATTGTTTAGTTGTACAACTAAAAATCGAGTAGTGTGCACCTCCATATAAGTCTATAGGAATCAGAGTAAGACTAAACAGTTGTGCGATAGTTTAGTCAAATATGTGCGTACGCTCTTAGAATAAGTTAATTTACTTACTCGTCTGAATCATCGGAATCTGAACATTCGTCGTCTTTTGACATCATTACGTTTCGACCATCGAAGGCACTAAAAGAAGATTATTTTTTGTAAGTTTTAATAACAGAGAATTACTCAAAAGTTTTACTAACTGTTCTCAATATAAAAAAAAAAACCTTTTTATTGCCATCCGAAAAAATATACAGTTTCATAATAAATATAGGCTCAGCTTAACCGATACTAGTTGGGATCCAGAGTCGAGCTGGTTTTCAGTTTTCAGCAGTAATATCACAGATGAAAATTGTGGTTTTTTTTTTTATTTTTCCGAGACACAATTGGCAGAATAATTTTAATTTAGCGAACAACTGGTTTGGACTTTTTTGCTATTCTACCTATAGTACCTTGCGGGGTCAACAAAAATTAATCAAAAGATAAATTATTTATAGATTCTAAAAGGACATTAGCATGTATAAGAAAATAAATTGGAAAAACTTTGATAATTAAAGAAAAAAATGTGACCCATAAAGCCAGCTACAGACGCTCAATTCTGACAATTATCACAGAAGAATGGTTTAGTTAAATCTGTGCATGTATTCAATACTTTACAGCCTTACAAATAAAGACTGACTATAGGCAAATATTACAACAAATTGTGTTTATGATATACTTAGTTTATTCCTAAGTTTAACTTTATACCACGTTTATTTGTAAGGCTGTAATAGACTAATTCACCTTTTGCCTACAGTTAAATCAGTACTTTGCGTGTGTAGTTTAATATATGAATACTTACACATCTTCATCCGCTGCCCACTGCGATGATTGAAACGCCGATGTTTCTATTATGTCCGAAATTACTTTAGTGAGAACTCTATTGAGAGAGAAAATATATGGTCAAAAATCTTGAATAGTAATACGGAACACATAAAAAAGCTATTGCACTTAGTTTCCACAGCAGAAGTAATAATTGCTCATTTCTTTGAAAAAAAAAACAAGAATAACATACGATTCCCCGCAAGGTACATAAGTGTTTAGAATCTGTAATCTTTGCAAGTGGTCAATAGCGTTATACTCAAATACTTAGGTAAATTGGTAACAAACAGACAAGACGTACAGTCGCGGGAATCTGCGGTGTTCCACTTGAAGGAAAAATTGCCTTGCTCATTGCAACGAGACAAACTCCGCCTCTTCCTCCAAACAATTAGATAACAGTGAGTACAAACGAAGGGATAATAAAAAGAAATTAGCCGTGTATCACTATCAGATTTTTTTTCGTACAGACACATTTTTAAGCTGCGTTATACTGTTTTTTTTTCAGCGTCTCGTTTCAAAATTTTCAAATGATTGTAATATTTAAGATAGAACACCGTTAGTTTCCACGACTGTACATTGTCAAAGCACGTTTAATTTTTGTCTTTCGTTTAATGGTAGATAACTTGAGAGAGATGTAACGATAAAAAAATAAATCAAAAATACTCACTTATCCTTCTGTGACTTTTTACCTGAAATGACAAAAACTAGTGTTAAAATTTTTAATGTCTTGTCCTAATTAATTATAAGTAAATAAAGTAAAATGAGAGTCAAAAAAATATTAAGGCATTAGAAAGAAAAAATGGAAATTGATTTAATTGTAAATTGCATATTTAATATTTTTTTCCTACAAATATTAAAAGAGATATGATTCAATACTCACGGTTTTGTTTAGTACTGTGGCATTTAGTCCTCTTGTTGGAAGGACAAGAACAACAACTGTAATAAACGATCTTCTAAATCACAAATATTTGGAGAATTGAAAAATAGAAAGATTACAATTTAAGTTACAAGAATAACTTAAATTTAATTCAACTTAATTGTACATGAAATATCTTAATCCTTTGTTGTCTTTTGAATATAATAAACTAATTCGCATCTACACTATTATAAAGAAACTTTAGTTTTTATATGTGACTAAGATACTAAAAACTACTATGTATATTTTAAATATTATTTAACTATTATAAAGCTACTTAGTCATGGAGTAACTTAGGCTATATTTTACTCGATGACTATGTAACAGGTAAGATGAGACGAAAAGGATTTAAGCATCTGTCTATTCTAATATTATAAAGAGGATAGATTTGTATTTTTGTATGTATTGAAATAACCCACGAAGTAAAATTTCAAAAATTCTTTCACCATTAAAGAGCTATAGCTAAGTAACATCTTACTAATATTATAAATGTGAAAGTTTAGATGGATGGATAGATGGATGAATGTTTGTTAGAGTTTGTAGCCTAAACGGCTGAAGGGATCTCGATGAAATTTGGCATAGATGTAGAGGATAGTCTGGAAGAACACATAGGTTACTTGCTTTTGTTTATTTTCAATTCCGCGCGGAGGGAGTCGCGGGCGAAAGCTAGTAGGTTATATTTTTTGATGTTCACGTGGACGGTGTTGCGAACACAGATAGTTGTCTAATATTTTAACACTTACGAGGATTTACTGCACGAGACACGAGACGATTGGGATGAGAGCGATTTATTGTCAGCTAGAAAAATAGAATTAAATAAACCATAGGTAATAAAACTCTCGAGTAGTTTAATAGTCCTGAGGGAGTTCATTAGATAAACTTACAACAACCGTTACAATCCATCGATGTAGGAACACCATACGTTCGAGATGGTTCTCGCTCGAACAACCTGTTACGAAGAAATAAATTATTTAACTCTTGTAGATGAAGACGAAGATTTCCTATAACATATTCAAATATAATTTTTTTTGGTATTTTCCAATATTTTTAAGTTAATTACTTTGATGTAGTAGTGTAAACGCTTCGACGCATCTCATGGCTCCACGAGTCTCCAATCTCACTTTCACTTTGCACATTCCAAGTGCACGATCTAAAAAAAAGACATTATCAAACAAAATAACAGAAATATCACTAGGTTTAATTTTAGTCCCTTTCCTTTTCCACCCTTTTTTCAAGAGGCAATGATGGGAAGGAAAAGTGGAATTGACAGTGGAGGAGACGCATAGGAAAGGGAAATGTCCTTTTTATGTGCGTCTCCTTCCCCGTCAATTAAGGGTAGGTAACGCATCTGCAAATGCGGATGTTTATGGTTAGCGATCGCTTTCCACTTCGGTGGATTCAGGTGGCCGCTTGCTCGTTTGCCACCTTATATTATAAAAAAAATAGTTAAGAATTATTTACGTATTATCACATAAATCATTTTTTCAGTTCACAAGTCACACCCACACACAAAAATACTTGTGATATAAAAAATAAGATTGTTTTTTTTTGTTAAGTATACAAAATTTTGTTGTAAAATGTAAAAAAAAAAATATTTACTGGAAATACTCACGCCGATCTGGCTCTAGTCATTCTCGGGAAGGAACTTGGCGTTGCAGCTGAAATCATTTTTGTATACGTCCTGCCGCCCCTTAAACTGCATCGGGATGCCGTTCTCACTTCCTCCATTAAATCTGCAACAATAATCAAATAACAACAAGTCCTAACTATGCTTGTGATAGCTCGAAAGTTAAAAGAGCCAAAGAAAATAGGTTATTTTTTATTTTTGGGTCAAAATCCGACTCGAAGGACCACTAACTCATGTATAGTATTTAAAAGCTTACAAAATAGAATAAAACCTTGGAACACATAATAAAGTTTCGATTTGCTCACCCATATCCTCATCGGTTGACATTCTGGTATCTGATTTCATTTTAGTCAATTTTGGTGTTCTCAACATCGGCGATGGTGGACATTGACATATTCTGAGGAAATAAAAGAAAAAGAAAAAAAAAAAGGTTTTTTTCATTTTTTTAATCACCTTTACAATTTAGACATTATGTAGAACACTTATTTAATACTTACGCTGTTTTTGTTTTCGCTTTTGAATTTCTAAACTTTTTTGCATCACCCCTGCAGAAAAAGAAACACAAAATTTAAATACCTAATAAACACAAAAATAACGTAACATTTTATGATTATTTACAACTCACTTTCCAGTTGCTTTTGAGGTTTTCTTAGCAACTTCCGCTGTGAAATTAAACAATTGTTATTTCAAACCAATAGCTATAAAAATAACAGTAAAAAGCATTTTTTTATTCACGATAAAAACCTACCACACTCGCAGTCCACTTGTTCCGCAGCATCTAAACCACGTTTCCTGTAATTAAAGAAACTAAAAGGTAGTCTTTAAAAGATTTTAACTTTACTTAATACCAAAGCTTAATGAAAACATAGATTAACTGTTGCTTGCAACTTTGACCGCGTGAATTAAAAAAATATAGCCTATTTTACTCACAGATAAATTATCTCTCTAACCGTGAAAGAAATAGGCCCAGTAGTTTTTGAGTTATGTCAATGCATATAAAATCCAAAAATACAAATCTTTCCTTTATTATATTAGTATAGATAATACAATAGCAGCTTACTTACGACGGTTTTCGAGATTCATCCCGCATCTTACGTTCCCGTCTACTTAGTTCTTTCCGTTCCAATCGTTCAGGCACATTAACTGGTACGTTCTGAAAATCTTGTCTATCTGGACCTAATCTGTCACGTCCTAGATAGCTTTCTTGGATTTCATGAGGGATTCGGGAGTTACGTCTTTCGAAATTGGCATATCTGTCATGGCCAAGAAGTCTATCGTAGACTGGAGAAAATCTATCGTAGGACGAATGATGTCTTTCGCGGTCCGGATTCCTATCATATACTGAATTTCGACTGAGAATCCTTTCAATATTGGAATTACCGATTCTTTCGTTAAATTGTCTATCATTACTGGGGTATCTATCTCGACTTATCCGACTTGCTATTCTTTGAGGACTGGTGTAAACATCACGACTGTTTTTATTAACTGGACTATCATTACTGGGACAATGTCGTTCAGTTTGAAAACAAGACTCGTAATTGTCACTTTTATTGGTGCTGGAATTTTTCTCTGATCGTTTTCTAATCTTTGTCAAACTATCTCGTTTTGGAACACCTTGTGTTATGCGATTTTCGAGTCTGTTTCTATTATCTTCACGTTGCAATCTACGTTTTCTTTCTTGTTCTAATGCTTCGTTTTCTGAAAATAAAAGTACGAGCAATGAACCATTAGAGTCCCTGCACGATAAAGAATTGTATTATTAAATCGATTTTGTGTCTAAATAATTTTGGCTTAACAAGCCCATCAGATCAAACTATCGATAAAATGTCTAAAGTTTGAGGGAACTCTTAAATATATGATAAACCAGCATGCGGCCGCGATTCCGTTCGCATGGAATTAAAAAAAAAATTGAGTAACCTATGTGTTCTTCCAGACTATCGTCTACATCTGTACCAAATTTCATAATCCGTTCAGCAGTTAAGACTACAAACTCTAACAAACATCTATCCATCTAAACTTTTGCATTTATAATATTAGTATGATTACTTGATTACAGATTTTTGCTTAGAACAATTTTGGATATAATCTTACAGTCAGGAGTCTGAGGAAGCTCTTAAAATTACAAATCACATAGTTATATTTACTACAGGATTATTCTCAAAACAGCATAGAATCTTACCTTGACAATGCTTTTGGTACTGCCTTTCCCATTCACTTCCCGCGTCTTCATAATTGTTTGTTCCACTGCAAACAAAGGTTCAATTTTCTTAACTAAAACTGCAAGCCAATAGCTGAAAAGCAAGGTTGCCATGGTAACCATAAATTCTTAACCAATGAACTACTTACCTTGTAGCTATTGTTCGTTGCCTCGTTTGAAATGAATTGTGATCGTCACCTAAAACACAGACAGAATTAAAAAAATGTATCAATCAGGAAATTGTATACCTATCTATACTTCAATACTAATGTAATAAAGCGTAAACACACGCTACTTTGTGGCGTAGGAAGTCTGCAATTACAGCGTATTGATGAATATTTTTTTCTTTAATAAAATGCTCTAGGCTTACAAGACGCTTAAGCCTACATATTTTCACGCTATTAAACTTAGGAGGTAAAAGAATTAGAAAAAACCTTCATGTGGGAACGGGGTCATAAACTACAAGCTGCCAACATCAAAGGAGTTAAATTACTATGACAAATATAAACAACAAAATAAAGTTATCATAATTTCATGAGGATGAAACCGCACGGGAACAGCTAGTATTATAATAAGATAAAAACCTTTAATTCTTGGTGAGCCAAGTCCTAAAGGTTCCGGATGTGTCGGCAAAGTGGGATCTTCCGGGCAATTGGTTTCATTGTGCGTAGGTCGGAATATATACGGCTTCTGGTGGTTTGTCCTGAAAAACAATTATTCAAATTGTTAAAATTATTGAAAGTGCAATATTATAAGCTATATTTATTTCATATTTAGACATTATTAAATTAACTTACATTTGAACTTTTCTTGGTGTATATGTGGAAACAGTTTTATCTGTGGATGATTTTAAATGTTAACTATCTTACTAATATTATTAATGAAAACATTTGGATATGGATCTTTGTTAGAGTGATGTAGAGGATAGTTTGGAAGAACATATAGACTATTTACTTTTTTTTTATAACATAAGGTGGCAAACGAGCGGCCACCCGAATCCGCCAAAATGGCGAAGTAAGTTTACTTTTGTTTTTTCTTTAATTCCACACAGACAGATTCTCGGGCCAGAGTTAGTAATTAATAATAATAATAATAATAATAATAATCATTTAATCTGTTCAGAACACTACAGCACTTACAAAAATCACAACACACAGAAAATAACAAAT